GCCCCCCGCCCCCTACCACCTCCATCCCCGCCGAGTTCCCTACAGCACGCCCCTATAGTAGTGCATGTCCTTGGACAAGGACAGAGTCCGTCATTGTGCAGCGACCGCCCCTTTTGCCTCGCCGAAAACAAACTCGGAGGTGCCCACGTCTTTCGATGCCTTTGCTGACGGTGAACAAAGCAGCAGGTCTGCCGACCTTACACACACCTTTCACTGCTCGGACGAGGCGAACTTGTCCTTGCCTCTGCGCGAAGTGGCGGTATATCTTCACCAGCGTACCGAGCAAACAACAGAATCGTGTAATGCTCTAGGAATTGCCATGCAATGGTGCGCGCCGGGCAGATCCGCTGCTAACTACAAACCCCCCAAACACACGAAGCAAGTGCGAATCTCGGCGGCACTCGCGGCCCATACCGCGCGCACACATTTTACGTCGAGGGCATAAAACTTTCCTCATTCTCATGTCGGTCAGAGGGAGTGAGAGAGGAAAACGAGAAAGGGAGAGAGAAAGAAGGGGGGGGGGCAGAGCGCAAGGGGGAAGGGGCAGGGCAGTCTTTAAAACTTGCGCAACGTTTTTATCGCGCGGCTCGGGTTGGGCGGGGCGGGATGGCAGTCGTACCAGCAGCAGCAGCGCGGGGATATTGTCCAAATGTTCTACTTTCAGACCGACACGACTCCGCGACACGCCGAAGGCGGCCAAAAGCCTCGGGGGGGCCTCGCTCTGCCGTCTCGCTCGCTCTCATTACCGCAGCGATAGGCGGGCGAGGGTCCTAATAACAGACGAGCACGGCCGCCGCAACTACTAGGGCCTCCTCCAGCCTCTGAGGGGCGTTCCCGGAATTCCTAGCGGGTATTTTGATACTCATTAGAGAACTCCCGGCGGGCGGCGTGCCTAACACGTCCCGCCGTGACACCGAACACCCTTCCCGTCGGGGCGGGCCAGGGCGCTGCAGCGCGGGGCAGAGCATCACGCGGAGCAGCAGCTCACCGACAACTATCTCTCCCGCCCTTAAAGACGCGCCGGCCCGGATAAACTTCGTTGGCCTCGTCGTTGGTATTTCTTCCCTTTTACCCCCCCCCCTTTTTTTGCTCTCCTCTTTACCCCCCACCCCTTTTTTTTTTCTTTGGCGGGGAGGCCGCGGAGCGAAGTTTAGCTCCACCGCAGTCCATCATGAGGCGGGAGCATGAATACACCTCGTCTTTCTCTCTCTGTCCTTCTCTGTTCCTGTCTCCCCCTACCCCCTCTCTCTCTCTTCCTCCCTCTCTGCCTTTGGCACGGGCCGCGCCCGTGCCGTGGCTGCTTCTGCTGCGTCTGGCTGAACAACTTTTCGGTCGGTATTTCCGACTTAGCCAACACGATGCGAGTTTAGGGAGAGAACAATACGGCAAAGTGGTGGGATAGGCATGCATAGAGGCGCGCCGAGAAGGGGGGTGGGTGGTCTTTATACTTGACGCAAAAGCACGAGTATGGCAGAGAGGGGCGTCATAAACTTAATTCTCGACACAATAATATGCCGCCCGCGCTCTCGCAGGTTGGCCCCCGCCAGACCCAGACCCAGCGACCGCACAGCCAGCCCAGCACATACGCCCGACGCTCTGCAGCCAGCCCGCGCTCAGCGACAAATTTCGTCGGAGCGACGCAGCGGCGGTCTGACCATGTTTGATCAATTTCTCATACCGCCCACCCCGTGCCGCGGAGGCCGACGCAGCACGCTCAGCATTCGGGCGCGCGGCGGGGGGTCTGAAGAGCCGAGGCCAGGGCGGCCCGCCTTGGGGTAGGGCTCCGGGCCTCAGACAAGGGATGAGCCGCGGACCAGAGGTGGACCTGCCCGACAGTGAGGCAGGGCGGGAGGCAGCGAGGGAGGGATTGGAGGATATGGGCCAAGTTTCCAACAGGGGTAAGGATTTCAAGGGTTCTCCAGTTACTTCAAGGTAGGGGGGAAGAAGAAGAAGAAGAAGAAGAAGAAGAAGAAGAAGAAGAAGAAGAAGAAGAAGAAGAAGAACCGGAGCCCGACACGCGGTTCAACATGGCGGCCGCAGCAGCTGCAGCCGCTCGCTCAGCTTTTTGTGCCGAGCGATCCCCGAGATAAGCCAAAATAAATTACCGCTATTCTGCACAGTCAATATTATACGTGGCCGGTGAGGAGAGGGGGGGAGGGCGGGGGTGCGCGGTCAGGGGCTGCTGGCCTGACTCTGTGGAGGTGAGAGGGCGGGCTCCCACACGCTCGGCCCGCTCAGCCTGACGAGGCTCTCTGCCATGCGCGCCGCCCGCGCCGCACACCCCGGCGGTGAACTCTAACTTTGTTTAGACAACAGTTGCCGCTGCTCGCTCGGTAAGGAGAGGAGTCAGCCTGATGCGAAAGCGAGGACGCGCCGGGCCGGGCGAGGCGAGCAGGGCGCGGAGCAGCATAGCGCCGCCCCGGGGTGTCCGTCAAACATCGCCGCGGTGTAGGTGGCCGTGTTCGCGGACATGGGGAGGGGCGGAGAGAAGAGAGGAGCCCGTCGGCAGCAGATCTTCACTTTGAACAGCACCCCGCAGCGCCGCTCCACGCGCCCCGCCCCAGCGCGCCCGCCCTCCCTCTACGTCAAGTTGTGATGAAACCTCTTTGGGGCGAGAATCTCGCCAGAGAAGACCCTTCCCTTTTCCTTTCCTCTTTCTGCCTTGGCGAGCGAGACCGGCTGCGGCGTGGCAGGGCGGGGGAAGGGGGGCGGCAGCTGCGGATGACTGTCCTGTACAAAAGACCCCATCGGCACTTCTCAGAGGTTTCCACTCAGGATAGGGGGCGCTAGCTCGGCGCTAGCTGGGGGGGCTGGTTATCTGATCGAGTCAGACCTATGGTCCGACCGTGGCCGTGGCTCTCTCCCCGGGCTCGGGCGGGGCTGGGCGGGGCCCTCTCTCTCGTCTCCGTTACGGTCTGGAGTCGACTACTCATTTCGAATTCCATGCCTAGAAATTCGCGGCCGCTTCTTACATGCGGTCTGCTGCGCGCGGCGTGGCTTGGCGGGGCGCGATGGCGAAGGGGCCGGACCTCGCCTGACTGCCTGCGTCCCAGAGGGGCCCCGGCCCGGGCCCCGGGTCCCCCCAGAGGAGCCCCAACAGAGCCCTCTCCGCGAGCCAGAGCGGGATCCACCCGCCCGGGGGTCCTGAGTCCTGACTGAGCGCAGGATGGCTCTGGGTCACCAGGGAGCAGGCCGGAATCACCCACTCACGGCCCAAGATCTAGCCAACGCTAACGCCCTCCAGGAAGGCTGAGGGCGTACGCGCTGTACCGCAGCCTGACAGTAGACCGACAAACGCTGCTGGTGCTCTTACACTGCCATGTCATGTCGAGTCCCCGGACAAATTCAAAGCACCAAGACCGCAGCCTTTGAGGGTGGGGTGCCAGCGGGTGCACCGCCCACGCGCGCCCTCACAGACACAGAGCCACACCGTGAGACCCAGCAGCCAGCCCCGCCCCGGCGGCCCCGCCGCGCGGAGACAGATTTGCGATTCAAGTTGGCCAGAACTGTTGCTACCCGGACCTTACCCAGAGCCAGGGTCCACTGCAGAACAAAAGCGCAGTCGGAGAACTAAGAAGCGAATTGACCCCACTGCCTTCACCCAGTTGTAAT